CTTACAGTGATGCCACTGTCTGCCCAAGAAATACGGTGTTGTCTTCCTTATGAAACATTCCAGACTGAATTCCATTCTTGATTGAACATCACTTTTAATGTCTGTAGCTCAGTTAGCTTCCAACACCATTTTCTTTGATTCACAAATAGATTGTGAGTCTATTTCAGATTTATGAACTGTAAAACACTTCATTTTTGCAGCATAATATAGAAGTACTTAAGAAAAGGGCATGTGAATTTGGCCCACAAGATCTGTTTACTCAAACTGCCGATAGAGTGACAAAGGAAGCAATCACTTTATAGAACTAAGTCCCATTACTATAATATAATCTTTGTTCCTCTTAAAAAACAACAATTCCTGACAGAGTGGGAGCTAGTAGCCTCCCCTTAGCTTTCAGCAGTACTGCAGTGATTTTATGCTCTTGAAAAGTGTACTGGAGGTGATAAGGTGAAAAAAAAAAAGAAATATTTACGGAACTTTTTCTCATTTTAATGGAAGAATGCAACTTTGGACTTGTATTATTGTCCTTGAATAATAAGCAAAGCACAATGAAGATACTATAATTGTATAACAAACACACATATGTAATAAATACTTCAGTAAAAATATCAAGAATTCAGATCAGGGAATAGGAAAAGACTAAACAGTTAGGACATGGTAAATATTTCAGACTTCTAGGGCAGGTATTTAAGCTTTTTTTAAGGGGTGCATGTGAAGAAATAAGAAATCATATGTCCCTGTTAAAGAAAGATTACCATTAAAGCAAGAATCTAGAGATCTTAGACTTTAAACTGAAATACAAATCCAGAGAAGGTAGTTTTACTACCCAGAGTAATACTGGTCTTCAGAAGCATTTGCAGCATTCAGAAGTGCATTGTTAAGACAGGAGTAATTTTCTTTTCTTTTCCTCTGAATTTTAAATTCAAGAGATGTGTGAGAGTTGCCATATTTATCAGAGGAAACAAGAAATCGTCACAATAATAAACAAAATTATGCATCCCTGCACAATAGAAAGACAGGATTTAGTTTTGTTTTCATGCTAATGTACTAATTATTATATCCACCCAGATACTCTAGTGGCAATCTGAAGGGTTGTTATTTCTGAATAGGTCCTAAGATAATAGATAATAAAAATAAGTGAAACAATTTAAACAAAATTCAACATCTAATTCAACAATTCTCATCACATTTCTCTTGTGTTAAGATAATTACTGTGCCTTAGAAAAGGTTAACATGACTTCAACATAAAGGATGATCTATTCAAATGAGATCAACCTGACATTAAGGACACTAAGTTTGCATAGTTCCCTTTCTAATCACTTTCGGAAATTGCTTTTAAACTCTTTTTCAGCTATTAGGGACCTTTGGATATGTTACAACATCAGGTGAATTTCTTTCAAATGCTCAGCAAAGAAAATTGTTGTTACAAGAACTGAAAATTTTTGAAGGAAATAAACAACAAGGGAGTGATTAAAACTTTGATTTTAGAAAGTTACAAGCAGACTAAGAGTCCAGATAAATTTGAAATAAGATTTTAGAATTAATTATATATAATTCTTCCCATTCAAAAATACTTTTCCTTTGATTTTTTTTTAAATAAGACAAGACTTTAAAAATTGGACAATAAAAAAAAACTAGAGGACTGAAAATGAAATGAAAAGAAATCAGGTTTTAGGACATTATTTGAAGGAATTAAAGATCATGATAGTTAAAAGTAAAAAGAAAGAATATAAAACTGATTGATTTGAACAAAGTTAAAATAGACATATTGTTGTCTCTGGTAATCCTTAATGGAGTTTTGCTGACATCAGGACTGAAATGATAAAGGAGGACTTCCTTGAATATGGCCGACTGATTACATGCCCAGTGAGGGATCCTGGAAGAGTTTTTCCCTGGGCTGTGGCTCTTCAGCTACAGCTGAATTTTTGGATCTGATCAAAGAGGGAGCCAAGATGGAGGAGCAAATTATTAAAGATACATTTGAAAGGTCTCTAAGTAAAATGCACTAATTTGTTGACCAGATGTGCTCCAAGGATGATTAAAAAAAAAACCCTCTCAAATTACTCAAGAGATGCAAGCATGTCCAGAAAGTTACCAAGTTACCGAGGCTGAAAATGCAGAAAAAATTATTGCAAATTTGGAATACAAACTTGACATTAACTTTTATTATGATGGTATAAATATAAATCTCTCAACACAGCTAAAAGAAGAGTGTCAAGAAAATCAGCAACTTTTAAAAAGACTAATTTGGGATTTTTCCTTAAGGACATTAAGAAGATTGAAAAATCTGTGATAAAAAGGAAGACTTATAATTAGTTGATAATCGTTCCAGAGAAAAGGATTCTACTCTAGGAAGATACGTTGGAGGGAATAATAATAATAATAATAATAATAATAATAATAAAAAAGTTGGAAGGGATCTTGGAGGTCATCTAGTCCAACCCCCTGCTCAGGCAGGAAACTCTACACCATTTTGGACAGATGGCTGTCCAGTCTCTTCTTAAAAACTTTCAGTGTTGGAGCATTCACCACTTCTGGAGGCAAGTTGTTCCATTGCTTAATTGTTCTAACTGTCAGGAAATCTCTCCTTAGTTCTAGGTTGCTTCTCTCCTTGATTAGTTTCCATCCATTGCTTCTTGTCCTGCCTTCAGGCGCCTTGGAAAATAGCTCTTCTTTGTGGCAGCCCCTGAGATATTGGAACACTGCTATCATGTCCCCCCTCGTCCTTCTCTTCGTTAAACTAGACATACCCAATTCCAGCAACCGTTCCTCATATGTTTTAGCCTCCTCTAATCATCTTTGTTGTACTCTTTCTAGAGTCTCAGCATCTTTTTTACATCGTGGTGACCAAAACTGGATGCAGTATTCCAAGTGTGGCCTTATCAAGGCATTGTAAAGTGGTATTAATACTTCATGTGATCTTGATTCTATCCCTCTGTTAATGCAGCCCAGCACTGAGCTGGCTTTTTTTGGCAGCTACAGCACACTGCTGGCTCATATTTAAGTGATTGTCCACTAGGACTCCAAGATCCTTCTCACAGTTACTACTATTGAACAAGGTACCCCTATATTATACCTGTACATTTGGTTTTTCTTGCCTAAATGTAGAACCTTACTTTTTTCATCATTGAATTTCATTTTGTTAGATAGCACCCAATGCTCAAGTTTGTCCAGGTCCTCCTGTATCTTAAGCCTGTCTTCTGGAGTATTGGCTATTCCTGTCAGCTTGGTGTCATCCACAAATTTGATGAGTTCCCCATCTATCCCCTTGTCCAAATCATTGATGAAGATGTTGAAGAGCACTGGGCCCAGAACAGAGCCCTGGGGTACCCCATTACACACTTCCCTCCATGTAGATGCAGTTCCATTGAAGACCACATGCTGAGTATGGCCGGTCAGCCAGCTACAAATTCATCTGGTGGTGATGCTGTTTAACTCACATTTTTCTATCTTATCGAGTAGTAGGTTGTGATCTACTTTATCAAATGCCTTACTGAAGTCCAAGTAAATTATATCCACAGCATTCCTCTGGTCCACTAATTTTGTCACTTGGTCAAAGAATGACTTAAACTTAATGAGTTAACTGGATCTAGGATGGATTTGATATTTGTAACTGAAAGAAAGTCTTAATCTAAAATTTGAAAATGATGTTTTACATATAATGTTTAAGTAATTTTTGAAGTATGTAATGTTATTGAAAATCTATTTGAGAGTACTCTGTGTTCTAAAAAGGATTTTTATAAAAGGAGAAAAAAAAAAGATTATTCTATAAGGGTAGTTTGGAGGGTGTGACCTAAATTCAATACTGAAGTTCAAAGCCTGTATGTTAAGAAGTTAAAGAAAAAGTTGTTCTAGAAAGTTTTGATTCTAGAAAAGTATTTAAAGAAAGTTTAGCAATTTTTTTTTTAAAAAAAGGGTTGAAAAAAATAGTACTTATCCTTGTAAGATCGAAGAATTTGAAAGTATATAGTTAACTTTCTTAATAAAATGGTGATAGTTTATAAAGATTATTAGGTGCAAATAGAAATACATACTATTCCCACATCAAGAAAGATAAAACATGGATGGTTAAATTGATCATCTTATTCAAAGAGGAGAATATACTGTGTTTGAGTATGCTTTTCATTTGGATATCATTTCTGGATTTTGTGCTTGTGATTAAAAAATGAAACTTTGACTTTTGTCGATTACATAGATTTGTCATTATAGAAATGACTAGTTATATATTAATGTGTAAAAACAAAAAGTTGAGGCTGGAGTGTTTTTATCTTGTACTGTGCTAAAAAGAGTCAGAAGTCAACATCTTTTTTTTTTCTTTTCCCCTTGTACCTCACACCTTCTCTTCTCCTCTCCTTTTCCCTCCCTTAATTTGCTATTTTTATTTTTCTTTGTATTTTATATATAAATAAAAAAGACTGAAATGATAAAGCATTATGTATTTGTTTATAAATAAGAAATAGGATAGGGGAAGAAGAAATTATTTTCTGTATTTTAAGAGATGATAAGTTATTAAAACTGTTTATACTGGTGATAAAGAAGTCATTTCTTTATACATTTTTCCTTTTTCTATTTTCTTCTTTATTCTATATTCTGAATTCTTATTTCCTTCCTAGTTTTCTGTTTTTCTTTTTTCTGTCTTTTCTGCACCTTCTCACCATCTTTTTTCAATTTTTAAAATATGTATAGTTTTTTACTGTTCGAATTGTAATATTTAATAAAATTATTAAAAAAGAGATTAAGCCAATTTTTAATGATTTTGCTATCATCAGCAATGAAGATTTTAGCAGATCTGCAGCTTACAACCCTTTGAATATTCTTCTAGAAAACATTCTGTAGGTAAAATGTCCAACTGAATTGCTGGCAGATAATTTAAAATATAGACCCATAAATATCACACCTTTAGGACTTCTTAAAGGAACCACAATAAACAAGCCCAAGGAGTTAGGAATAGTCATAAGTAATTCAAATGTCAACAGGTATTATATGATAAATATGCTTACCTCTAATGTGAATGACAGCACCACATCTGATTTTGACAGCTGAACCTCATTTTCATCTCCTATGTCCAAGAAAGCAGAATTCTGTGATCGTTTTAATTTTTGTAATTTAAATTCTGGGCCACCTTTAGACACTGGAAGACTTTCCAAATTTGCCATCAGCAAATTCACTGAAGATCGTAGTTCTTCTATATACATGTGCTCCATTTCTTTTGCTATAAACTCTGGACATTTTCTTTCCTTGAAAATATTTTTGAAAGTTCAGTGTCACTTTAGGTTCTAAACTCCTAGACAGATAAACATAGCCCTGATTAATTGGTATCTTGTTTTATGTAAATATAAACTGTATCCTTTAGATTATTAACCTGAAAAACTACAGAAGTCATTTTAAAGTGTCCATTAGATACTAAGAAACAATATATCCCAAATAATGCAATTCAATTTAGAAATGTTCACAAAATAGAAAAGGATTGTAAGAAAGAAAAATACAACATTCTGATAGTAAATCTGGAGTAATGTAAGATGACAGATTATCATTTCTTTAGCTAAAACCTAAAACTATAGGATAATTCAAAATTTAAAAGTACTTCCTCAGAAAGGACAGGAATGACCGGATACTGAATCATTTTGTTTTTATAGCATTTTAAATACCAGAATTTTACTCTACAACTCACCATTAAAGTTCTCCATTAAACAGAACGGTTAAAATATTTCTCTTTTCTATTAGTTGTTCCTGGGTCATATAATAACAATTATAAATCATAAAACAATCAAAACTGATCTGATTTCTGAGGTTGCTGAACATAGATGTAAATCATTTTATATGTCTGCAATTCTTTCCCCAATTTCTTGATTTGGTAAGATAAATTTTGCCAGGAAATCTGAAGCAACAGAGTCCAGTTAACAATCTAGCAAGTCTAACAAGAGAACTGAAATCCAAGCAGTATTGAAAAATCAAATAGATTAGCATATTTCTGGATTGTCTGATGTTGTATCATCATATATAGAAATATTTTGTTATACAATCCTACTGACACACATAGGACCAATGGCCCATCTTAATCCCCAAAGATATCCTAGGTATTTCCATTATCTAAAGTAGGACTATTATATGTATTCTTTGGAATTCTTCAGACTGTGCAGTGCTTATATCTCTTTTCTTTTAATAATAGCAATAACACTTAGTGCTTTACAGCCCTCTCTAAGCTGTTTACAGAGTCAGCATCTTGCCCCCAACATTTTACCAACCTTGGAAGGATGGAAGGCTGAGTCAACCTTGAGCTAGTCAGGATCGAACTAGCAGTGAGTAGAGTTAGCCAGCAATACTGCATTCTAATCACTGTGCTACTATGGCTCTTTTCTTTCTGCAATTATGTATGCATGAGACTTAGTGTATGATGTCAATTAAAACAATCACTTCCAAATTATATCTAGCAGTGGTGGCCTTTCAAACAGACAACTAAACTATTCATTTAATTGACAATGCTAACTTGAAGCTTGGCTGTTGACCTGTTTTGCCCTCACTCTGTTCCTCCTTTCTCCTTGAATACCATGTCTTTTGATTGGCAAACCTAAAAGCAGATTATCAAACAATTTATGATAAGCTCAGTTTACCAGTTACAAAAACATGCCATCTATTAACAACACTCACAGCCACTAGTAGTCATCCATCAGAAAATAAGGCCTATCCAAATGAACTGAAAAGGTGAGACGAGGCTAGAGAAGGACGAATGCAAACAAATACTGTTATAAATCAATGTAGTTTGTTCCACTGGCTGCAGTGGAACTTTTTCTTAAACTATCAGTTTCAAACCGATTTAGAAAAATTTCCACTCCTCAAAACAAGAAATTCAAACTTACTTTTGCCATTTGATCAGCCATTTGAAGGCGCCCATCAAGTTCTCGTCTGATCTGGGCAGCTTGCTCATCTGCATTGTCCAGCTTGAATGAAAATTAGAAAGAAATAAGAGGATGGGAAATGCTCACAATATTAAAAATGAAATACTAAACAAATTCAGCTTATCTGTCATTTTCATAAATAAAACCAATGAGAGAAAATAATAAGAGGATAACATCATTCTGGATTTTTTTTTTGTTTAAATCTTGTAATCTTATTACATGATCTATGGATATGGTAAATAATACAAAAATAGACTTTAATGAAAAAGAGTATAAAATATGGAAATTTTTATCTTGCATTAAAAGCATCCCTACAAATTCTACAATGAAAGAAAGCCAATTTTACACCCAAAATACTGAATTCTTCAATCTAAATCAAATAAACATAAACACACATACAGTATACACAAAAAGGGACAGTGTGGAGTAAAGTTGGCCATGGCTGGGGAGATGGCACTAGGGCAGAACAGGCAGAACTGGCAGAGGAGGCAGGGCAAGTTACAGCTTTCAGGATGAAGTTTGCAGTTGTGGACGCTGTGCAAGGCCTCACGGAGGTCTTCTTTCTTTCCTACCGTTGAAATGTCTAGGAAATTGTTCTTGAGAAGGTGTCCAACAATTCAGTATGCAGAATCATGAATGTATTGATGATAATCCAACTATCACCAAGTCAGGCTGTGGGAGAGATGCTGTTGATAGCTTAAGCCACTTCCTGGAGGAGAAGCTTGAAACCAAATAACATGGAAGTAACTAATGTTCCCTATATACCATGAGCCTTTTACTGGTTACTGGTTGTTTTACAGGTCTAATTTAGTGCTGGTTTTAACAGGGCCACTTATCCAGCTTGAGTGAGCTTGACCTATTAGTTTGGTCAGGGAAAAACCACTCTTAGTTCTGAGAAGTGGGGAGCTGAAATCAGGAGGTATTTTTTTCAGAAACAGTGCTAGTACTCTAAACAAGTCTCCTCATAGAAATCCAATTGCTCCTTTCTTCAACAGCATTCTGGAAGATGCTAAAAATCATACTGATCCAGAAAGCCACAGCAGCAGGTTTTTACCATTAATTCTTATCTTATTTTTATTTCCTCTTGCTATTGTATCACAATTTATTTGGACTTGGCCATTTGTTTTAGTTTTCTTCTAATTTTTTTTTACTGTATTTTAAGACTATTCATGAATGTGTAGTTTAACTATTTACAGGATTTAGACTATAGATTGTAAATGTACAGATACTCCTTGACTTATGATCATAATTGGGACCAGACCTTCTATCACTAATTGAGGCAGTTGTTAAATGAGTTGTACCTAATTTTATGACCTTTTTTGCTGCAATTGCTAAGTGAATCATATGATTATTAAGCAAATCTGGCTTTCTCTATTGACTTTGCTAGTTGGAAGTTGGCTGAGAAAGTCACAAATGACAATCATGGACCCTGGGATATTGCAATCATCATAAATACATGCCAGATGCCAAGCCCCCAAATTCTGATCATGGGACTGAACAGCTGCTGTGATTGTTGTAAATACAAGGTCCAGTAGTATGACACTTTGTTCAGTGTTGTTGTAACTTTGGTTACTAAACAGTAACCAAACATAACTCAAGGACTACTTGTTTAGTTGTTTTTACAATTCTCTGCTAATAATTTTTATTTTATTTTATTAGCATATTTTGTTTCTTCTGTTTCTGCTTTGGAATAATTGTTATGTTATTTCTATTATGCTACTTTACAACCAAAATAAACCCAATAATGGAATTATAAATTTAAAAAATATTTATTTATCAAATTTATTGGCTGCCCATCTTACCACAGGGTAACAAAATAAAGAATGACTGCTCATAAAAAAATGAAGAGATTAGGCACATGACCTAAAACCACCAATGAATTATTTATTTCTTTAAAACATTTATACAATCACCCATCTTATATCAAAGTTATATTCCATTGAGACCAAAATATAATTTAATCTCTAGAACTTTTATAACATCACATCAACCCAGTATAATCCACAGGCAGGAATAATGGAGATGTAATCCAAAGGTTATCATGGACTATATGAGATAGGGGAAAGGTACTCCGGACTACAGTGTTCCCCAAGCAGACTGTTTATATAAAAAAGTGTCCCTTGAAAAATTGTTCTAAATAACTGTGGAAAGAGACATCTTTGGCCCTTGTCCTCTGCGTTATTCAGCAGATAAAAATGAGCCTTGATCATCATTTAGTTATTAAAACACTAATTAACATACAGAATTCCAACCTTTGCTTCAAACATTATTCAGGGTTTTTCTCATCCCACTTTTTAGGCAATTGTTTTCCAATAAAAAGTTAAATACAGGTGTGGTGGTTAGATACACATATCAGAACAAAGACATGCAAAAACGCTTCAGTGAAAAGGGAAAATGAAGAGTAGAAAGACCAGTTCTTCAAGGTCAGAACATAATTATAAGGTATAAACAGGCATTTAATGCAGTTTGATTGAACTGAACTTGAACCTGATTAATATTGAAAACTCTAATTTTTTTAACCAAAGAATGGGGCTGACATTCTCTAACATATTCCTATATCTATGGTCTTAGGGCAACAGTGTACTGAGTATTCTTTCTGATAAAAAGCAGAAAGTTCCTGTACTTATGTCTTTGCAGACCAATGGATGAGGTTGGATTGATCTCCCCCTTAGAATGAAATAGCACAGTTTTCCTGGCCAACACAGTGCTAGGCTGCATTAACAGAGGGATAGAATCAAGATCATGTGAAGTATTAATACCACTTTATAATGCCTTGGTAAGGCCACACTTGAAATACTGCATCCAGTTTTGGTCACCACAATGTAAAAAAGATGTTGATACTCTAGAAAGAGTACAGAGAAGAGCAACAAAGATGATTAGGAGACTGCAGGCTAAAACATATAAGGAATGGTTGCTGGAATTGGGTATGTCTAGTTTAACAAAGAGAAGGACAAAGAGGGACATGATAGCAGTATTCCAATATCTCAGGGGCTGCCACAAAGAAGAGGGAGTCAAGCTATTTTCCAAAGCACCTGAAGGCAGGACAAGAAGCAACGGGTGGAAACTAACTAAAGAGAGAAGCAACTTAGAACTAAGGAGAAACTTCCTGACAGTTAGAGTAATTAACCAGTGGAACAACCTGCCTCCAGAAGCGGTGAATGCTCCAACACTGGAAGTTTTTAAGAAGAAACTGGACAGCCATTTGTCCAAAATGGTATAGGGTTTCCTGCCTGAGCAGGGGGTTGGACTAGATGACCTCCAAGGTCCCTTCCAACTTTATCATTATTATTACTATTTTGCATGATGTCAGTGTGAGATAATTTTACTATTAAAATAATATGGAAAGGTAAGACTTTTACTAAAATTGGAACGAACCAATAAGACAATTGTTACAGTATGAAATGTCATGTAAAACAGATCATAGTTTTACAAAGTAAAATTCAGTGTAATAAGATTCAGCATATTCACAGGGTTTACATGATTCTCTCTGGTACATTATAAAGAGATCAAAAACTTCTAAAAACCCAGATTAGCAGCTTTACAATTGTAACCATAATTCATTAAAATGAGACAACTTTATCAACTGTATTTTGAGATTGTAATGATTCTTTGAATTAAAGAATGACATGGTAAATTACGATTAACTAAAAATGAAAACAAATTTTCTATGTTTTATGCAGGTATCCTGAGTAGGAGGGAAGAATCTGGAGAAGCTGTGCTCAATGGTTTAGCGTTACATCTCAAACTAACCAATCCTGAGAGGGAAGCACAGCAAAAAAAGCAACCCAACATTTATTTCCTAAGAATCCCACTGAGGGATGTTAATATTCTGAAGCAGCTCTTTTATCTTCACACATTGGCCATAGATTGTTTACATCTATTTCCACAACTGAAGCGTGTAAGTAGGGAACAGCCCCCCAAAGTACAATTCTGACAAACATTACATTAGCCTGGTCTATTGCACTCTTGCTACTGGTAGGGTGCCTGGCTGTACAAATTTAATTAAACCAACCATAGCAATGAAACTAATACAGTTTAATCTCCTAAAATCTAAAATAATGGAAAACAAGGTGAATAATCCCTACTCAAAATGAGAATCAGCAAATTAGTTTCTTCTGTAGTATACTTCATTATGCAGAAACCCCCTTTTTCTTCCAACATAAAAGTTAAAGCTGTAATGGATTCTTCAATTTACTTTTAAAGTTACAGAGAAGGCAAGCACAATGCAAAGTTATATGTTAGAATTTACAGGATTCAAGGAGAGTTTTTTTTGCACAGTTTACTGCAAGGAGTGTGAAAGTATCTGCAATATGAAATTAAGATAGTATTTTATTACTTCAATCAAAAAGTGTTTCTCAGATATATAATATTTTATAGATCCAACTTATGCCTAAACCAACAAATATAAATGATAAGCTGTGCTCCTTTATAACTGCTGCTGGGCAGAGAGTTAATAAGTAACCAACATGTACTAAAGAATTCTAAAACTATGCATTTGCTCCACCAATTTTATCAGTTCATCTTAAAACTAATGAAGGAATCAAGGAAAGCTGAGTTACATACAAAACCAAGGTGACAATGCATCTTAAATTGTGAATACTGGCAAATTACAGCAAGCTGCTTATCATTGGTGACTGACAAGTGTCTTGCTATGCAGGTTTTCAATAACACAGTGAGAGCAGGCTTCTCCATATGGAAGCTCTATTGTGTCCAATTATTCTCACAGAGGTAGTTGCAACAATCTGCAGTTTTAATTTTGCAATCTGCAATTTTAATGTTTGCACACATTGACCTTAACAAAGCTTTCACATGGGGATCTGTTGGATTAGAAAGTTCATGTTTGATTTAATAAAGGATATGTTTGCATCTTCTGTCTCTAAAAGAAAGTATTCACAATGTTCTAAGTAAGGAAAATATTATTTAAAAATAGAACTGGCATAGGAACCAAAAATGAATATAAGGCAATGTATACCTTTTCTGTATGAAAGTCATCTTTAAAGGGTAAATAAAAGAACCCATTGTGTTGAATGTTGAATGGAATA